CTGTTCACCGGTACCAAACCCTGTTCCCTCTTACTCCCGCATCCCATGCCACCCACATTATACCCCTCTTCCCTTTCGACTTGTTAACCAGTGATCGGCCCCGTCCCGTCCTTCACAGATTTCAGCATTGGTCCATGATTTTTGGCAGCCGGGACGTTGCCTTCTAGAGGGAGGGGATAGTGTTACGGACTTCGCCAGGGCTCGATCCCTGGTCTATCTTTTGCTGTTTCGGCTGCATCCCGTTTTCGGCTTGGCTCCCTTTTTCCAAACCCCTCCTTTGGTACCGTAGGATTTTGGACAACTGGCGCCATGCTGCAATTCGGGCGCCACTTTCAAATACTGCATTTTTCAGTTCTGCCCTCGGGGCCCTTGCAGAAATGCCCCTGGTACCGTACGTGTCACCGGTACTTATACCGGCTCCCCGTACGGTACGGGGACGAGTCTCGTACCAGTTCTCTGCTGCTGTACTCGTACTCAGTGTGACTTGGCGTTCCGGCATTCGGAATCCAAGACTTTGACTTTGTGCCTTGCCACTGTGTCTGCGTCCGACCCTCAGTCCGAGTCCGTCGTGTCCAGTGAGTGAGTGTGTGTGTGCTCTCACTCTCTCCCTCTCTCTCTCCTCTCCCTCGGCTCAACCTCAGCCTCACGCTCGTTCCACCTTCCCTTGTCCCAGACCCTGCATTGCATGTGTCCCAGGACTGTCCCAATGAAGTCAACTGCTGCTGAGGCCTCTCGGCCTAGATTTTGGACTTGGACGTCTGGATCTGGACTGTCCCTTAGACTAAGACCAGAACTGGGACTCTATTGATCGACTTACTTTCGAATTACAACTTTGGACGAACAGACACACATACTGCCTGAACAGACATCCTCACTGTGTGAATAGACACCCCCTTTCTACACGAACAGACACACTGACTACACGTGCAGACACATCCTTATCCGCACAGACATGACGTGTGCATCTCCTGGCGAACAGGTTTGTCCTTCTGCAATGATCTTTTGCTTTAGTTTAGGAAATGCCCTTTGACCAGAGTTCTGGCGAGATACCCCTTTCACGCTGCTGTACCTTTACAAGGGCTGAATCGGGTAAAGGCCCTTTTCTGGATCCCTCGCTGGCGTGGGTGATGAGTTGGCCACTCGTCGCCAAGCCTCTTAAAGTTTTAAGATGGCGGGGCAATCCAGGCCGTCAGGACTGAATTTCTAGATGGCGGGGCAATCCAGGCCGTCCGGCCGGTAGGATCGCGAACGACCTGGATCGCCGCGAGATCTTAGAATCTTAAGATCGCGAGGCAATCCGAGCCGTCGGGCCGGTAGGTCCGCGGACGGCCCGGATCCCAAAATTCTCACATCAGAAACTTTTATAAGTGTAGGGATGACGAGCCGTGTGACCCCAGCCAACGCGAAAAGTGCTCCATGGTACCATCCAGTACCTAGCATGTTGGGGGCGTGAGGCCGGGTTATAGGCCTGGTAGTGATAACAGGAAAAATATGGTTGGTTTCAGTTAGGCTTATAGTGTCACTTGGAATGTGGGTGAATGGTTGATGTGAGGCTAGAAGTTGTTCAAAAACTTCATTGCATTTTTTCTGAAATGATTCTCAGCCGAAGCTGGGTAATAGCCCTGGTATCTTAAAGTTTTTCTGTTTTATCTATAAGGCACGCTGGGCCCGGTTCCCAGCATGTGTTGCTCCCTGCGAATACATCGGAGGTTTTCCCAAAAATAAAAATAAGAAAGGGTCATGGGCGTGCTTCCTAGATCTGCAGACAGCTCATTGGAAGGTTCTCTGGGGGGGATCCAAGAGGCATTGAGATCAGTGCTACCACCTTCCCCCGAATAGCATGTATGATCATTAGAACTGAATTTGGGGCAACTTTTGGTCTAGAGCATGAAAGGTGGTGCATAAGAGGTTCAGTCATACAACCCGTATGAAATACATCCTTTCAGCCCGGTGCAAGGAAGATGGTACACAGCAATGTCTTCTGCCAGTGGCAGTGTAAAGCCCAATATTTAGCTACTAGAACGTCTGTGCACATGGAAGTGGTACGGAACAAACCTGCATGTCACAACAATTGAAGATCCCCACCGCATGTCGGCCACATTTTCAACACCCCCCGCAGCTGTACCAGTGGCTGCTCCACTAACTCCGCAGCCCCAGGCTGACACTCCTCGACCAACACATGTTGAAGGACCACTGCCTCCCGCACGCCCACCACCCCCACTAAAACTCCATGAGCCTTTCGTAGACGCTCTACCCTCATTAGGGACTGCCACTCTTCCTTGTTGTCCACCCGTCCCATCTTTAGGGCCCATTCTTTCAAGAACCCTAACCTCCCTTACAGTGGTCACATCAATGGGCACCCACCGCACATTTGATACACATGGGTTCAGTTTGTCGTCGAGCAGTATGTTCCAGCAATTCACACAGCAGTGCAGAACCCTGCCGACTCCATCTGCCATCTCACATTGCATCATCTCCCATGGACTTCCTTCTTGGAGCTGTCTCGGAGCCCTCACTAGGGGTCTCCACCTATTCATTTGTGTTTGCTTTCCTTGTCCTCGCCCCTCACTTGTATTGCTTGCAGCAGCTTCTCGAGCCATGCTATCTTGACTCCTTAACGGTCCTTTCCGTTTAGAAAAACCTGACAGCCAGCTTCCAAGCCCTCCCCAGGAGTTTGAGCTCAAGGTTTGATTATGGCTGCTTTCTGCTCGAGAAGGACGCTTTGGTGCATCTACCGCGACACAAGCACCACCTTCGCCGACAGCCATACCTGGTCGATCGAGCACCTCAGCTACCTCATCTTCCACACCCGCTGCTGCAATTCCCTCTCTATTTGTGTACCTCTCCTCTTCTTCCTCTTCATCTTCATCATCTTCTTCCCCTTGCTCACCTTCATCAATTTCTTCTCCTGCAACCAAATGGAATTGGGGCCCTCCTCGGGCATCACAAACATAAACTCCATCGCCTTGCTCAGTACTACTGCGGGGAGTCCCAATGTTTAGTTTGCTCCCTCGGTACCCTTCATCACTCTGTTGACCTAATGATTCTTTCTTCTTCTTTCCACCAAACCATGCCCATCGACCCCTGCCCGAATGTCCTGACTGTCTTGAAGCTCGGATACCCTGATAATCAGGATCGCTGGCTTGTACACTCCTTCCCCAAGTGCATTTGGGGAGGTCATCATCACCATCACCATCACCATCTTCATCATCATCCGCTGGAGCTCTGCTACTCTCCCCTCGTACATTCGGATCCACATTTTCCATCCCTGCCGTGCGCACACTTGCCTCCCGTCTCCTTATGAGTCCTCTCAACGATACATAAGCTTCTGCTGCAGCTTGTATATATTCTAGTGCCCTCGCCACACCATATGCAATCCGAAGACGAGTGTGCCAGTTCAGATGCACAATGGGAGTAGAGTCGAAACGATCCTCCTTTGGCCCTGCAACCCAATGGAGCTTGATTGTTAGCCACAACTAGGGAAACATACCCCAAATGATTCTGCACCAGAGAAAAGCAGCATTATACATTTGGTGCTTTCCTGTCCAAAAAGATCAGTAAATGAAACACAAAGCTATGGTGTCACTTTGAGCTCAGGTTTGACCCACCCCTTTCCCACCTTTTGCTTCCAAGCCTCATCTCCCTCTAAACTCCCAGTGGTTGACAGAATACTTGAATCGAAGTGTTAATTAGTCCAAAACAGTCATTGAAAGTTGCTAGAAACTGTCAGAGTGTGTGCTTGCTCTGGCCACACATGCCTTTCTGTGGGTCGGGGAGTTTGTGCGTGGGACTTGAGGGGGTTCCACCTTATACGCTTACTTGAGGCTGTTTGTTAGATGGAAATTTTTGAATCAGCCAAGTGTTGGGGGGAGGAGGGGGGGTTGTCTGCTTTGGGCTTCGGGGCTTTCAGTCATTTGCCTTCACTGGGGGGTTTGGTTGGATGTGGAATTTGACTGACAAACCAGGAGCAAGGAACCCACAGCCCTTCGGTTATCTAACTCCTCCTATAACTATAGATCATATAAATAGATTAAACAGAAGGTTGAGTGTTGGGGTCCACCGGATCACGGGGAAAAACGACTACCCGTGTTGGGGTGGGGTTAAGTGCTCATCTTGGGGCTTAACTTTCACCCCGGTCCACTTTACCGTTTGGTTGAGTGTTTGCCTCCGGATAGGGAGGTCACGTGTTCGATCCTTGAACAGTGCGGACTTATAAAAAATGTATTTACAAATGCATTAGAGCCACTCGATCGAGCAAGATGGCTAAAGTTATTAGGCCAAGAGGCGGATAAAATTACAAAGATCCCGTAGTCAAAGCAAGATGGCTAAAGTTATTAGGCCAAGAGGCGGATAAAATTACAAAATTCCCGTGGAAAGCATACAAAATGATCAGACCAGTCAAAATCAGAAGCCTTCAATGGTTAGTCACTTACACAGCATTACCAGTCAATCAGTGGTTACATATCAGGAGGAAAGAGTCTGCACCGGATAGTTCTGACCTTTGCAAGGTGTGCACGGACAATGCAGTAGAGGACATAGTACACTGCCTAATATACTGCAAAGTGGCAACAGACTACTGGGCGAGAGCATACACCCTTTGGGATTCCCTCTTCACTTCCCCATTCCCTGAGAAACCCATCCAACTCCTCCTCCTGATTGACACTCCTAACTGGCCACGGAAAGCAGAAAGGATTTGGTATGAGCTTATCAGGAAGACCTCCCTATGGGTCATATGGAAGGAAAGGTGCAGCAGAACGATCTAGGGAGCTTCAAACGCACGGGAGAGAGTCTGGGTGGAGACAAAGGTTTTGATACAGACAGAGATTTTATGCAGATGGAAGAGGATCAAGAGTACATGGACAGAAGATGAAGAGCAGCGAAAGAAGGCTAGAAGCAAGTTCATCAAGACGTGGTTAGTAGGGGGGAAAATTGCGGAGATACGGGATGACCGCATTTGCTGGAAGGAATGGCACAACTCTGCTTCAAGAAGGAATSTGGAACAGCGGRGCACAGAATCAGAGCATGGAACTTCAGAGCCAGAATCCTAATTGAGACADCTCAGCTCTCGGGTCACTACTTCAGRCACACAACAATGGGGATCTGRATGCMGACCGATAAGAATAAGAGCAAGGGGGAKTTCTGAACAAGGAGCAGGGKGAGGAGACATGGACAAAGATGGAATCAAAGGAAAGACGGAGGTCGGTGTTCGGTGGACACAATGATACAAAGGTGGTAGACATAAGGATAGGATGTGGGAAGACTAGGGTCAGACAACAAACGACACAATTGCAAAAAAACGAGTAGCTGCAGGAAGGAGATTGCAACAACAAGATACAGGGCCAGAAGCAGTAAGGTTGATATACCAGAGCTGCTACAAAAAGACGAGGTTTTAGGGTTTAGGGTTTTAGCGGTTGCTCAGGCAAAAGCAAAAGTAGGCGGAGTGGGAAGAGATCAGATTGACAATGACAATAGAGGGAATTTTTCTAGGTTAAACGATGGCATCTGACAAACCTAAATGTTCGGTCTGAGAGGAAAGAGAGGGGACGGGCAAGCTGGCAGTCAATCCTCCGCTGAGATGGAGCAATCAATGCTGTCCAGGGGTCCTTCGGCCAGACGGAAGGAAGCGTGAGTGAGTCCCAATGATGTACTATTTCTTGACTTGCCGGTGGAATAGGAACCGGACTGACGCTCCCCAGAATAGAATGGAGCCGGGACCACAAGGCCCCGTTTTTTTCAAAAAAAAAAAAAAAGAAAAAAAAAAAAAGAGCCACTCGATCGACCTTGCAGTGGCTTGGGCACGATCGGGTGGTGCCATTAGCTTCCGCTGGTGTGAAAATTTGTCTTCATTGTGTGGTGGCTTTGTCTACTTCGATTGTGCATGTGTGTGATCGGGTACACCGGATCACGGGGAAAAACGAGTACCCGTGTTGGGGTGGGGTTAAGCGCTCATCTTATGGCTTAACTTTCACCCCGGTCCACTTTACCGTTTGGTTGAGTGTTTGCCTCCAGATAGGGAGGTCACGTGTTCGATCCTTGAACAGTGCGGACTTATAAAAAATGTATTTACAAAAGAAGGAATAGGAAAAAAAGGGAAACGTGTGAAGAGAGAGAGGGATTGCAATGTCCCCACAGCCCTTTCTGACTACTTCCTGCTGTTGATGTACCTGAATCACAACCCGTGTCCCCCTCCCGTTCAAATCATCTGAGCCGTCAAAGCTAACTGATTCAAGAGGAAGAGAAAGAAAAGAGTTCATACACCCTAGCCTCACTCATCTCCTCCAACCTGATTCAAGACGTCTCCACCCACCATCACCAATGAAAAGCCCCCGTACCTCAGCCACTTCAACCAATCCCTGAAATGTCAACATTATATTCTTGTCCTTTTCGCTGTGAATGTGCAAGAATGGGGCTCTTCTCCCTGACGTGAATGACAAGAGGCAAAGCGAGCTGGTTAGGCAACTCTCCAAAAAACTCAATCAAATCTCTGGAGCAATTACACCACGTGCTACAACACGTTCATTTCAGCAAAACGGCATAGCTTGATTTTCGGTCAAACCTAGGCACACATACCATGGAGATGATCGCTGAGACTGCCATTTGACATATTCTTATAGACAATCAGGCGCTGAGTTCCATCCCTGCTGAAGCCCAGAACTTCAGCAATGTTCTTATGCCGAAGTCTACCAAGGGTTTCCATCTCTGCTCGAAAAGTGCTCCATTCTCCTTGCATGATGACTTCATCAAGCACCTTTATTGCAACCTGGACAAGAGCAACAAACTCATTTTAGCTGTTTCAGTCTGAAGTTGGCGACTGCAATCAGACTAGTCTTCTTCGACACTCAGCATGCGTACAAACAGATGATCAAGCTAGGGACTTGCGCCCACACAAAGCTCAGAGATAACATAGCCAAGAACACAATTCAGATTCCAACTTGTCTCGATTGATGTCCACGCACAAACACACAACACACTCACATACACATACTAACACCCTACTACTAACCTACAGGCAGCTATGGCTGCCATCTTCTACGTCTCACTAACAACAAGCGGCTATGGCTGCGTCTTCCTCCTCTTAGCCCTCTCCTTCCTCGGGCACCTGCAGACCTTGGAACACAAGACGCTCTGGCAGCACTTCGCACGGCTCACAGGCAGAATGAAATGAATGACTTGACGCTGCCTCTTTATATATACTTAGAATCATCAAAGGTCTGCCCTTTGACCCTGGACCTGGGGTGCACACAGTCCCACATGGTACTTGCCGACTTGACGAAGTGCGACCGGGACTGGGTACCGCTGACTAGACTAGGTAGGACTAGGACTAGGACTGCCCTTCGCTGACTCAGACGCAGACTGACCCTAAGACTTCACGAAAGGCCACCTCCAGAAGTTCCGGAAGGTCACAGACTTGACCTTTCGGTACTGTAGCAGCTACGACCTATGCTACTACTAAGACCTCTAAAACTGAGACCTACGGTTCAAGACCCGACGACCACACTATCTACAACAAGACCACACTATCTACAACAGGCAAACAGGCGACTTTCCAGACAGGTCGCGGGTTCAAGCACATGCGGGTCAACTTACATGGGTGAGGGCGAGGTCTAGGGATCGAGCCCTGGGAACTGCATCTGCTACCGTAAAGGTGAAAACCATTTCACGACTGTTAACCAGGGGAAAAAGCTTCATGATCGTGGAAGGGACAGAGGTGAGGTTTCACCATGGAATAATCCCCACCAGCATGAAGGCTACTGGACAGCTTCATCAAGTGCACAATGATCATCTGAAACAGGCAAATGCAGCAGTTCTTAGACCCTGATAGACACTTATGGACATCCTGATGTGGTTCCACCTGCATTCAGCGTTGACTGCTTGTTCTAGCCAGGATCTAAAGGGGAGCATCATGGCAACCTCAGCAGACCCTTCAGAAATCAGTGCAAATTTGAAGCAACCAACTCTCCAGCCAGACAAATCGGAACATTGCTTCACCAAAGGGACAAGGTCTTTTACAAAGACAGGAAGTGAAAGGACAGAACGCCAGCCGTTTGTAGGTATTCAATGGTCCAACCTCTTGCTAAATTCTCAAGCAGTTTTGCTGGACATCACAAGTGTATGGTCGCTCTTTGCAATTCGAGCGTTCAAACTTCCTCGATTGTTCTCCCAGGTTCTTTGTTCTTTTTTCAATTTTTTTTTTTTTTTTTTGCACAAGCAGAACCTTATGGTTCTGGCTCCTTTCCATTCTGGGGAGCGACAGTCCGGATCCTATTCCACCGACAAGTCAAAACATTACATACAGGAACTCGTGCACACCACTCCCCATTGTGGCTGGGAGGTAGGCAGCATTGATTTCTTCCCGAGGGAAGGATGTACCACCTCTCACCCCTTATTTCTACACTCATTACAATAATGAAATATTATCTGGACTAAGGTGCCTATTGTCTATATCTATGCCCCACCTGTGAGCCATATACCTGACACATTCCTGCTTCCACACCTTGTGCCCTTACAACTGCCCTAAGTTGCTATTAAATCTTGCCTTTGTTCCAGGTTCTATGAATGACAAAAGAGCTGGTACCTGTAGCACAATACATGATGTGCCTCGAGGTTCTGTGTATAACCTATCCATTAAGCTGTCCTCGGCTGAACAAACCACACTGAAAAAACATCTCCCCAGATTTTGTACCCCACACTACCCCATAAACATCCTGCAAGAGAGCAGCTGCACAAATCAGCAAAAATCAAATAATACTCTAGTATGGTAGTACCTTCATTTGTGAACCTCTCTTTCTTGCCCTTGTTCGCTTTCCAGTGTCACTCACTTTCCGACCCCACTCCCGTGGAAGCTCCATGACACCTTTATACACTGCACCTGAACTCCCTCTGCCGATCAAATTGCCTCGGTTAAAACCGCCTGAGGCGGCCCTGAGCAGTGCAAACGGGACAAAGCCCAGCTTTGGTGGACTTGACCATGGGCTTTGCAATTGCAATGAGAACAAGTCTGATGACTCTTCTGAAGTCGAAGAGAAATGCAGATCATAGTTCCCCTGCAAACCCTCCGATCGGCTGCCCAGCTGTCCAGACTGTACTCCTGACGTTGATCTACGCTTCAAATCTCCTCTCTGTACAAGTCTTGTACCTGACAGCAGGGCTTGCAATGGATCACTCTCCCTTCCCATGCTATTCTCTAGCATACTGGAGCGTGGCAGTTTCTGTGTGTCCTTTGCTTGCATGTCATAGTCAGCTGATGTCTGCAATCTTTCTGTTACACCTGTTTGTCCAGAAACCACATGACCGGCCGCAGGAATTCCATTCTTGGACGCATAAGACCGCGAGCTAGCAGGGAAGGATTGTGATCTCTCGTTAAGAAATCTCCTCCCAGGGATGGAATAAGCAGTTGCTTTCTGACGAGTACCAGCCGCAAGAGGCACGGAGTGGGATACCAGATTACGACCATCATCCCTGAGGGACCCAGGTGAAACAGAAAGTCCAGGGAGAGCATGCATTGATGCCCCTCTGCGACGGTCAACATCTGGGGTATCCCCAATCTCGATGATGGAGTCAACAACATGATACCCTGACCTTCCTGTTCTCTGAAGGGACCCACTATTTGATCCTGCAGCAAGACCAAACAATTCCGCAATGGAATATGCCAAGTGTATTCACCGTCAGACAGCCAGCTGAATACATCGACACCATTAGATATGACCAAATGCTAATGTGAAAATAACAAAATGACAGAATTACGAACATTACAAACACTATGAACACTTTCCTGCATGATTTGGCATTGGCACAGAATAAAATACGGCAGTTACAGCACCAGGAAAAGGTTTAGAAAACTTATCCTGGACCCACATTTTCCATGATTTGGGAAACAATCCAAATTATTCATTTATTTGCTAGGCTATGTGTCGGGCAGCCCGGGCACCCCCTTCTCCACCCGGAAACTGCCCTGAACGCCCGGCTGGGCGTGCCAGCCGGTTGAGACCCCGGGCCACCCAGCGCAAAATCCAGCACTGTTTTTTTTTTCCGCCGCTACGGCCCTGGGGGTTGACGGCGGCGGGCCTTTTCATGAACACGGCAACCGGGAAAAAGAATGGGCCCCGGCAGGACCCCTTTTATTGTCGTTTTGCCCCGCGCCGGTTATCATCAAGGATCAACGATGCGGGGCTCATCGGACAACCGACGATGTGGAAGGCGGCATCACGGCCCCGTCGTCGCGCTGTGCTGCCGCGCCGTCCATACCACGCCCTCCAGCAGCCACGACCCCATCTCCCCGACGTAAGGGCTTCCTCCTCTTTCCCCTTCCTCTTCCTTCTCCTCCCACCCCCTCCTCCGTCCTCCACCACGTCCTTCTCCTCCTACTTCACCACAATCTCCTTCTTCTCCTCCCCCTCCTCCTCCTCCTCGTTATCCTCCTCCTCCCTCTTGTCATCCTCCTCCTTTTCTTTGTCCACTTCTACTCCTTATTCTTATCCTACCTATTCTTCTTCTCCTCGATATCTTCTCCATCTTCTTCCTTGTTCTTGCTTCTTCCTTGCCTCCTTCTCCCCCTCCTTTCTTTTCCTCATCGCCCATCTTCTCCTCCTCCTCCTAATTATCTTCGTGGCAAGAGCAGCGCCCATAGGTCCTCCTTCTACCTCCTCCTTCCACCTCCTCCTCCTCCTCCTCCTTTACACCTTATCAGACTTATCTTCCTCTTCGTCAACCATAATCCATCTCCTTCTTCTCCCCCTCCTCCTCCCTCCTTCCTTCCTCCGCCTCCTTTTTTTTTTCCCCCGTCCATTCGAGTTCAACGAACTTCATAGATTTCAATCTCTTGGTAACTTGGTTCATTTCTAGGCAAGTTTGGGGCGAGACGCCGCCCATTATGACTATGGAGGCTGCTGTGGAATCGACGAGAGGAGGGAAGGAGGAGGTGGAGGAAGAAAGGAAGAGGAGGGAGGAGGAAGAGGAGAAGAAGATGGATGATGGTTGACAAAGAAGAAGATAAGGTGAAAAGGACGCGGAGAAGGAGGTGGGAAGAGGAGGTAGAAAAAGGAGATCTCCTTCTTCGTCGTCCTCCTCCATTCATCTCCTCCTCCTCCTCCTTTTAACCTTTTCTTCTTGTTCTTCTTCACCTCCTCCTCGACAGCTTGTATAATATGGAGTTCTGCACGTGAAGTTCGAGCTCTGAAAGATACCTGTCGGCCCTCGGATTTTTTTTTTTTTTTTTTTCACAATGCCAACTTGCCATGTTGATACTTCGCTGCTGCGATACTTTGCAACGTCATGGCAAAACACGAATTGTCATGGCTATGGCGGTTGTGGGCTAATCAATGAGAGGACGACGACAAGAAGAGGAAGGAGGAATAAGAAAGGAGGATGAAAAGGAGGCAGCGGCGAGAAACAAGGAAGAAAGAAGATGTCGAGGAGGAAGAAGGGTAAGTACTAAGAAGGGAGAAGGACGAAGAAGTAGAAGAAGTAGAAGAAGTAGAAGAAGTAGAAGAAGAAGAAGAAGTAGAAGAAGAAGAAGAAGAAGAAGAAGAAGATGGACATGGTGGAAGAGAGGAGGACAGGCGGAGGCGGGGGAGGAGGAGAAGAAGATGGAGGAAGAAAGATGACGAGGGAGAAAAGTTCTAGAGGAGGAGGACGAGGACGAGACGAACAAAGGTTCAGGACGAGGAAGGAGAAGGTGGTCATTTTCTTGTTCTTCTTTATCCCCTCTGCAGCGCTGCATAACA